CATCATCGTTGCTCCTATTGCTGACCTGATCGAAGGCCACGACAAGATCACATTCGTTCCAGAGGGGCCATTTTGCCTCGTACCTTATGCAGCGTTGGAGGACTCCAACGCATCATATCTAAGTAATTCTTTCAGAATTCGTGTGCTTCCCTCCCTGACGACGTTGAAACTAATTCATGATTGTCCAGCTGACTTTCACATGAAGACTGGTGCATTGCTTGTCGGCGACCCATGTTTCAAACATATCATCTATGAGGGAAGACTTTTGGTGCAACTTCCAGGAGCAAGGAAAGAAGTGGAGATGATCGGACGTATCCTAAATGTTTCCCCCCTCACTGGAGAAATGGCAACAAAACGTGAAGTGTTAAAACGAATATCATCAGTGGCCTTAGTTCACATAGCGACGCACGGTAAAATGGAAACTGGAGAAGTTATCCTGGCACTAAACACCACTAGAGAAAACCCTCAGCCGCTAGAGAAAGACTATCTACTGACGATACAAGATGTCATAGAAGCTGGGTTGCGAGCACGTTTGGTTGTACTTAGCTGCTGTCACACTGCTCGTGGGGAGATCATGGCCGAGGGTGTGGTCGGCATGGCGCGTGCACTTTTGGCTGCCGGTGCTAGATCTGTTGTGGCAACCTTGTGGGCGATTGGCGACGAGGGAACCGTGGAGTTCATGAGTTTCTTCTACGATGCACTTTCCAAAGGCAAGAAGGCAAGTGAAGCTCTCAATCAGGCCATGAAGTGTATGAGAGAAATTGAAAAGTTCAAGGAGGTGATTTACTGGGCACCATTTGTACTCATTGGTGACGACGTCAACCTGGATTTCGAGGATATTAGAAGCCGAAACAAGTAAATTCTCTGTTTATACATTCTGTTCAATACAAAATTACCTTAAATCATAATTGCAGCTTATGTATGAGCAGTGATACTTGCGTGTTATTTTCCTTTCAGTTGAGTTACGAATTTAGTTTTTGCTCCGGCAAATTGAGATGCAGTAAAATCAAGCGGACACGTTTACGATGATGACATTCTTGATAGGAAACATGATAGGAGTAAAACAGCAAAATTATTTTAAAACAATCCTGCTGTGCAATGTATCGTTTCATGTGCTAGGAAATATTTTATGGAAACTGAACCATCCTCCTTAAACATAGCTTTTTTTATTCTTCAGTTAAGGCAGTGAGCATTGGAATCCCAGGGTGTTTTCGGACACCTGCAAACGCTGATATTCGGACCAGAAACCAGTAAGCTACTTATGAAATCTTTCTCAAGAGTCTTCTTTCCAAAGCAGTAAGAACCAAAAGACGGCCAAAGTCAAGTTTAACAAGAGAACGGATTTCCTTTGATTCAAAAGTTGACTTTTTGCTTGTCTCAACTGCTCTTACGAGCTTCGTCTTTGATATCTTGCTGAAACTACCGGCTTTTTTTTCATATGTCTTGAAATCATCATGACTAGCTATGTAAAAAGTTACTTTTAATATAAGTATTAACTACCAAGAGGATTAAGGCGTTACGTTTACGTGGAAGTTGAAACGTCTTGAAACGTTTTCTTCAGTTCTTTTACAAAATTTTTCTCAAGCGGTTTTAGTTACATGAGTGATGCAAAGCTGTTACAGCCATGTGCGCGCGTGGAGAATTTCCATGGAAAGTGGACAATAATCATTTTCCCAATTGCTCAGTTATCTTAGTTTATGTCACATGGAAATTGTGATTAACTTTTCGAGGATTTGTACCCAGTCATTGGTACTTAAAGTTAGTTTCTGCCGATCAGAATTAGGTTTATCTGGACTTAAAATGACAGGTTTTGGCCGTAATGGCCAGGATTTAGTCTTATTATTAGTTAATTTTCTGAGATTTCTCCTTTAATTTTGAATGCGATAAATTGTGTTATTTTTTACAAGCAGAACGATGTATTTTAAGTATATTGTTTAAACTAATCGTCCAAAGGCAAAACGAGAACTTTTATTTTAATTTTAGTTACTTGCCTACAAAGCATTGAAGGAAGCTCAGAACGAGCTACAAAATTGGAGCCAAATGATTTTAATTAGTTTCTTCGATTAAATTGTTTACCTATTATCTTAGTAAAATAAACTAACATTTGAATGTGAAACAATGAAACAAATCACTTGACATTTTGTAAGAATGGAAGAGGAAATCAATAACAAAGGGAAGAAAATTTCTGCATCAACCCGCATAAGACATTTCTTGTCGTTTGAAGTAGTGAGCGCGTCTATGTCTTGTTCGCTTGATAACATTTGCCCATTTCTTTCAATAGGTTTATTGAATGAGAGATATATAGATATATACTTCGATATTTTCTGACTGTATAACTGCTAATATTGATCATTAGCGACCGTTTCTTAGGATGTCACGTGACGCACTTCTTTAGCACGAGCACGTTATGTGACAGATATGATGTTTTGTCACATCTTGTTGTTTGGAGTAGTGAGTGCACCTGTGTCTTATTCGCTCAACCTCTTCCTGTTTCCTTGGATAGAGTTATTAAATGAGATATAAATTTTGATATTTTCAAATTTTATATCTGCCAGTTTCATTGGCAGCCGTTCCTTAGGATGTCACGCGACGCGTTTTTTTTAGCATGTCAAGCGACATGATATTTAGTTATATATATTGTTGAAGAGGCAAGAAAAAAGAAATTACCTTTCACTTTGGGAGATGGTGCTTTATTCTGTTTATAGAAAGCGTCCTCATCATGGGAGGTACCCTAGGTCGGTGCGGTTCCTCGAGTGTGGAAAATATTAATGAATTTATTTTCCACGACTGCAAACTTAACTAAAACAGCCTGTTAAAAAAACCGAAACTTTCGTAAAACTGAGGAGGGCCGACCAAGGAGAACTTTTTACGGCTAACAGTTAAAATTGTGGCCATGTTTTTGCTGCGGTTAACCTAGACTAACACAAAATAACACATTGTAGGAAGGAAATATTTCTAAGGTTAATTTTTTCTAGAACTAAGGGTTCAGATTTGTCGATATTTACGCCTAACAACTAGTTTTTGACCGATATACGGCTAACGGTTAACCCCATGGAGACCCTCGACTGGGTGAATAGGTGAACAGGCGAATAGAGCTCTTTGCATGGGCTCATTAGCTAATTCGGAATTAATAGTCGAACCTGTATTAAGCGGTCGGTTGAAAAATTCCCGAATTTTTTCCTCCTATGCATTGTCATGTTCACCGCTTTTCGACGGTGGTCTCTAGTAAGCGGTTGTGGTCATCCTTGACTGAGTCCCATCGAACTATTCGGGTTGTATGGCACGGTTACTTAGGGCCGAACCACTTGAATAAAACGACGAATTCTCTCTGAAGTAGAATTTATTCCATGTTTGTCTCCCAAAATCAATGTTAGTATTTAGAGTTCAAATGTCCTCAACGCATCGAAGATTATCTCTCTTCTCATGACTGTTTGTATCCAACAAATACTACTTAATAAAACTACGCAAGTGATTTGGTGGTTAATTACCAAGAGGTCTAACTGTTAGAATTCTAATTTCTTGTTCTGTTTTTACGCTGCATCATCATTTTGTTGATGTTATTAGATACAATTTGAGCGATTTTTTAAAATAAGCTTAACATTAAAATGTTGAATTATGGTTTAAAATGTTGTTTTCTTGTCTTTTGTTGTTAACCTGTATTAAATGGTGATGACACTCAGTTACGGGTTAAAAACGGTTTCTCGATTGTACCGTCTTCGTAAATTTGTGAAAGAATGAAATGGTTGGTTATGAGACAAAAAAGACGAGTTCCTTGATGTCCTTACCCTCTGGAGTTTACGCCGGTATTTTCGCAAGTTCCCGCCGAGATTCCCACGGGACACCTATCGGGATCACTCTCGGGATGCCGGCGAAGAGATTTGTACCAGCGAGCCATCGGGAATTGGACCGGGATCCCCGCGCGGATAAAAACGAGGAAACAAAATTGAATGAAATCCGGTTTCGCCGGTAGTCCCACCAATCCAATCTTTCACTTCCACCTCCCTTTCCACTTCCGCTAAGTTTTTTTCCGAGAAAGATCAGAGGTCTTCACGATGTTGGAGTTCGCTAATTGTATATGTATATATTCACACATGTGAAAGAAATCGGCCTTCGCCAAAACACTAGTGTGGTTAATGCTCACAGCTGTCTGTCAACTACGTATTCTTTCTCGCCGCTGGTTGTTTGCTCCTTAGTTCCAAACCCACACCTTCCTTCCCAAGTCTTTCCTCTAATCACGGACTTCATTGATTCACAACATTGTTCGGTATGGTGCTTTTCTTACTTTCATAATAGTTAAAGGGGAAAAAAACCAACAACAACAACAACAACAACAAAACACAAACAAAAACAAAAACAAAAAAAATAAAAAACTTCCGCTTAAAACGCCTAAGCAAACCGCAATATATATTTATTATTTTTCTCTTTTTTTTCCCTTCCTATACACTTGGCTTTTAGCCTAACGTAAACTGCTTGCTCTTTTGTATATATACTTTCCAATACCTGATATATTATCTCTAAAAAAACCATCAAATTCAAATGTACCAAAGAAAATTAATCAATATTTAGAATCCATTATCGTTTACAGAGAAATAGATTTACAAAAAAACTCATCTTAAATTGCAAATGTTACCATTTGCCTCTCCATGTTTGCCAGATAATATAATTCCCATTTCCGAAGCCAGCAATAAAAATCCACAATTTTAAATTGTTTTTCAATAAGTACTTTGTGTGCTTCCTTGCTCACTTCTCTACCACAATCTACGTGTTTAATAAAGTTTAGCCCATAACTTAAAAGAGCTTTCATAAGGAGAGTAACGTTTTAACTAAAAAAAATCAAAATACGAAAACAACAAAAACAACAACAACAATACCCAGATACATACCCTATTATACTGTGGTAACAAACGAGGGAGACCTTTACCCCAAGCTATAGCAGATCTCCGGAAAAGTGAACCATAAAGAAAGAACAGTGTTCTTCCTTCTGAATTTGTCTCAAAGTTTTACACTGGAACGTCAAAGTTGACGCTTTCAAGAGTCACAACAGATGTGGTGAAATGGCGGCCTTGGCGGCGGTACTTGATAAAAGATGGGTTGCGTAGGAGAGTCACCGCCAGGAACCAGCGGTTTACAGCCTTTTGAGACATGCGCGGCTGACAGGGCTCCCGTCTTTTTTCCTTCACTATTATTTTGGAATGGCAACGAAAAGTCATTTAAAACAAACATTAAAAAGCTTCAGAGCGTCCTGCGTCGATGCCAAACCTACAATATACAGGCGCTGTCGGAGATCCGGCGACAAAATAGATGCCTTAAAACACGGTATTTGAAAACTAATTTTAACGTTAAGGACGGAATACTTAATCACGTCAGACTCAAGGTGAAAAAAAGGTTACACATGTAGGGATGTTTCTTTTCTCCTCATAAAAAGCCTTAAAACTGTTCTATATCACCCAGAATACAATTATTTTTTTAAAGATCGGCTTGAAAAGTAACAGTCAGTGAGATACGTTTTAGTTCCTCAAAAAACTGTGCAAAGTGGCAAAAAAGAAAGGCTAACTTTCAATATTCCCGCGTGACCACAGAATGGATATGAAATGAATAGTAACCAACCGAACATAGCTCGCATCGTAAGTTTCTTCACAATAGTACCCATTTTTTATAAAAACTTACTTGGGGAATGGGGTACGTTTTCTGCCAAATTTTCCACGATTTCACAATAATAACGACGCTTAACAAAAGAAAATTATGTATTTCTTGCCCTCTGTGAAAAGATCATTTCTAGTGTTCTGATTGGTTGCTGAGTGCCGGTTGCCAGGACATAAACAATGCTGTGTTTTGATCTTATTAGGGAAACAAACGTGCTAATTTTCTCTAAGTTACAGTTGCTCATTTGTCTGTCCGCCCATTCGTGCGAACGCTCATCTGTCCGTTTATCCATCAAGCTAATCAGAATCATCCCAGCCGAGTCAGGATTCTAAAGACCATTTACTTACCGTCTTGCGGGGGCTGGTGATCTTTTTTCTGTCAATAAGCAACTGACAGAACACCAGCATCACAGGATGGTTGTGGGCAACCAGCACAGTCACAAAACCAAGGTATGCGACAAAAGCTGAAAATAAAATGAAGAAAATTTGAAGTGAGAGTCGAAGGTTGTCCAGGATCCGATAGGTTATGCTTTAGTTAGCACAATGACAACTCTATAAATCTCGTGCAACCCTCTCGAACAATCAGACGTAAAGCTATTACAAATCGCTACTAAACCACTACCGTTTGCTGCGTTCTGGGCAATTTGTTGGATCTTGTCACTGAGGAATTTCTGCTCGACCTTCCTTTCGTCTCTGAAGTCTTACAAACATTAATTCATTGGTTAAAAGCTGTTTTAGGAAATAGTGAATATGGCAGCATAATAGGTCTGTATGTTGTATATCTCCCTTCACATAGCCTCTGCCACTTATAAATTGCTTGTACTGGGTGCGTGCTCCTTACCTTTGTCCCAAGCCTGGAAACCCTGCATCAGTGATGTTCGATCGATACGAGAGATGAAAATCACTCCTAAAAGCATGCCCTTTAGAATTCGCATAAAAGCAGAGAGAAGTCCAGGAATTATGTTGTAGAAGAAGGAAAAGTGACCCATAAGCAAGATGTGAATCTAGGAGAATTACTAATTAACCTGGATGCAACACACAACAAACCAACAACCACAACTACAGCAAAAACAACAACCATCACAGCAACGAAAACAACAACACCCACCACCACTACAACAACATCAACAACAACAATAATAATGTAGGTATATGCCAAAAATCTTCTCATCAGAGACGTCTCTGATGAGAAGCTGACGTCGACGTTCAATTAATCTACCGCAGCTTTGTATTGAACGTTCTCTCGGCGAGGCGTGAGTTGACCACTAAACATACAATAGCATATGACATATCCAATCAACACAACAATAGAATTTGTTACGCCATTGGTCATCAGCAACCAAATAAGACCGAGCGGAGTCCAATTCGGTCTGTAGTCGTAAAAAAATTTGAAAAAGAAACTAGAGATCGGTTGTGGTTGTACGTTTTCATTAAAAAGAGAAAAAGAAAAAAAAAGCAACAGTTAACTCGGCAAAATGCAAGACAACAGTACATGACGCGTTCTGTCCACTTACCCTGACATGACGTGTTAACTGTCCCTTTAACTGTCCTATTACACTGTCCAATTACACACATGACGCGTACACCGTCCTATTGGTGCTCAAATCGGGCTGGTGATAACAAATCACGTTCGAGAATTTTGTTATATTTTTGATTAATGCACTAATGGGACAGTGTACAGTTCACGTTATGCTTGTCACTGGCCATTTAACGTAACATGCCTGTGACTATACGCGTTATATGCGTACTGTTATAATTGATTTATTTTTCTTTAATAGTTGAAGATCATAGATTATGATTCGTCGACGCAAAATATATACTTTTTGACGCTTCATCCTGATCTGCCAGAGGTGAGATCGACTGAGAGGTCAGAGTTGTGATTATTTGTCTGCGTCACAAAGTCTTCCTTCAGTCACAGAAGTTTGGCCTTCAGCTATTTATTTGGAATACTGTGGGTTTTTGCTGTATCGCACTGAGCCCTCCGTTAAAAAGGTTAAAGTAGTAGATTGTGATTTTATTGCGGTTCCGCTGATTTTAGCTGTTACACCTAGCCGCATATTTTATACTGTCACAGATCTAGAGCGCTCTGTTGTTATTCCACGGAGCGCTTTAAGCTCAGTGATCTTTGAAAACCAAATTCCTCGCATGAAACTTATGAGCACATACATCACATGAAAGCCAGTACGGCAGCCGTTCACGAATATACACTATCCCCTGAGCCATGCTCGTTTTCCATCCCATCACCTAAACACATCTCTTTTTTAGTACAGTTTCTAAATCATTGAAGGATATATTGCACTTGTGGGTGGATTTGTCATAATTTACCCCGTTTATGACAAATTCACTCAAGGATCAAATCGAAAATCGGGGTAAAGATGGCTACGGTAAGTCAGTAGGATATGTTCCACCCAGAATTGGAGAGAATAGCACTCGAGCTACCTGTGGGCTGGAAACTTTAAATATGTCTCTAAAGTAATACATAAAATGCATTTATGTATGTAGGTATGTATGAGAAAAGAAATCAAACACAAAAACAGTAATGAGCGTGATAAACTATGACCACGTTGACGATGACTATGGAGATAGTGTAATTCACTCCGTAAGCAAGTCGCACAGTCAGTCAGTCAATCAGTCATTCTGCCATCACAGTATTACCAACAGCGAAAGCAAGTATAGAGTAGTTCAATCGATAAAAATTATCCAACTCACCTGAAAGATCGTTAAAGCGCTAACCAATGTTATTGAAATGAATTGCGTCGAAAATTTGAAATCTAAAAGTGAAATTCAGATAAAGTTAAAACAGATTTTTCAACAAACGACTGCCAGTGGGTGTCATTTAAATCATCTCCTTATTCAAATGGTTCCTGCTCGCAGCTCAAAGACATGGCGCGAACAAAACATCTTTACCTTTCCTTGGTTTGTAGAAAAGAAGAAGCAGCCTTGAAAACCAGTTTAATCCAACCATATTCCCCCTGTTTGAAGCAACACAAAAAGAAATTATACCACCAATCCCAAGTAATTAGAAAATCATGATCATCTGAATGAGCTTACGCAAAAACGAAAGAAATATGTCAGTTGATTCATTCATCACCAATGTATGCATCAATCCCACGTTTATGTTATCGTTGGTGATCGATGGGCAGCTCTTTTCTTTACATATATGTTCTTTTAAACCGAACAGGACAGCCTTACACGTAGGCCAAAGGAATCAAGACTGATTGGAGCGCTTTCCAGACCAATCACAAAGAGTAATGAGTGAATTGAAAGATTCAAGTATAAATCTAAAAGCGTTTAGTCAAAAATTCTGCAGTCTGATTGGCTTCGCTAATCCTTCACTATTTAGCAATAAGAGTGCAAGATTTCTATTTGAGCAACAGACCGAACTTTCCATCGGTGTACCGGCATAGTAACCTACTTGAGTTGTTGGGAGAATACGAGAAAAGTTTGTAAATCACTCACCTCAGGCTCTTTATCAACAATTTTATCCAGCTTTCTTTTAACATCCCAAGTGGGTTTTCACGCTGGTAAACCTATAAAAACTGCGGTCTGTTGCTTTTACAGTATAACTTAGAACAAAGCAGATGGCTTATCCAGTACAATAAACGGTAGGGTTTTAACCAATCAGGGCGTAGTATCTAAGTTATTCCATAGCGCGCAGCAGTTACGAGTGCAATGTCTGAATCAATCATAACGCAGAGAAAATCACAAGCGACATATCTTATTGGTTTAGAATAAACCAACAACTCGTAGAAAACTTAGCAACAAGACAGGCTGGTGTTTTTGTCCTCTTTGTTTACAACCATATAGTGTCAGGCTAATCCCTTAAAAAAACTAACTCTCTATCACAACGCTGATAGATGTATTCTGTACCAGGTCACTTCTCCGACATGTCAGCTCGCCAACACTATTGGTCAACTCGCCAACAGCGACATATTTGGTGAACTCTCATTGCATAGTTTCAATTTTAAAGAGCTCAATCCGAGATTGATATTCAATACTAATTAGTGATATACAGTGCGTAACGTGAATAGCCTATGTACAGATTGTAAAATAAAGAAACGTTTCTTGTGGTAAAGTTTTTGATGCCCGGCTGATTTCTACTGAGAGAATACCGTTATTTTCCTGAGAATTATGTGCTTGATTTTCGATTCCGGCTTTGCCCTCATAAGCTGTCAGGCGATAGAGATCTCACGGGAATAACTCTACTGTGGGAAAAAACCCATTTTACAACAATTTATCTGAATAAAATTTATATGTAGTATACTGTCAGAGTTTGGTGATCCTGGATACAGGAGTTCTGTCATGTGAGCGACCTCCGTTTCTCTGGCCAAACACGTACCGCGGATTTCGTCGCCACCCTAGAAAATACAAGTTAATGATATTTTATCAGCAGTAAAAGCTCCCACGCAAACTTTAACAATGGTTACCCTTATCTGGGGATGGTTCCAGACAAGTTATGAAGTACAGAGAGGGAGCAAGCAGAAACTCCTCCCCAATCTCCATCCTTGAACAGCTTTTTATAGCCAGCGTTCAAAACTGTGAGCCGATTATCACGAAAATCGCGAGTTATCGACGAAATATCGTGCCATAGAAACACTTGTCTTGTAAATGTCGAAAGTAACCATTATCGCTTTGTTTATGCTTTATTTTGCTCTGTGATTGGTCTAGAAAACTCGCACCACTCTTTCAACCAATCAAATTCAAAACTAAAACCAATCACGACTTAGCCTGCAAGAGCGAGAACTTTCAGTAATGGATGCTCAATTATGCGAATGATATTCAATCAGTTCAAAACGTATAGTCTCTCTTCAAGTAATATATTCTTGAGAGATTTGATTCCCTATTAACTTTTTTATTTAACTTTTCTTTTTGCCACAATTCACTTCTCTTCTTTGCAGAATTTACGCGTGAAGTATTACAAAGAGGGCGACTGGATCAGTGAAAACAAACTGGCGGAAGGTTTGAAGTAATTTAAGCCTGTTTGAATTTTACAATTATAAGTATTGACGGGCTGGAACAAGGGTTGAGGATGAGCCTTTTTTGTCTAAGTGTTCATTACAATGCTATGTAGCATGGCAATAGTTCAGTAATTGTAATTTTATCAGTAGTGTGTTAAATTTGTTATCACATGGAAACTCGAGCATCTAGGAACGCGTAAAATTCTTAGAAAAGAATAAAAACACCGGTTACTCTCGATTCAGATTATTACAAAACTGAATATTATCTGTCCTCATTTAACTTGCAGAGCTTCTTGAATTTAGTGAAGACCGCAATCCTTGGGAATCAGTGGAAGAAAAGCTTAATGCGATCAGGTGGGAATAATTCATGCAATTAAATTTGCTCCGCCCATATACTTATCTTTGCATCCAATCATCCATTTAGGCTGCCTTATCTCCTTGTGGTATGTCTCAATAATTTTTTTCTTTGCGACTCTTTTTCTCAGGGATATGATGAGAAAGATGGTAAAACAGATGAGACCTGAAAGAGGGTGACCAGTTGTCAGACATGTTGGCTATTACTGAAATATCGAGTGCTATCCTATTCTAGCTTGTCACCAGGCCCTTGTTATAGTGAGAATCTGAACAAACACGAAGAACGCAGTGGACTATTAATAACTCAAAGGAAAAACGACGAGTCCAAGTTCATTACAATATTGTTTCACTAACCGCGTTAACAGGAAAATTAGTTAAGAAAATAATAACAACAACAAGTACTTTATTGAAGCAACTCTAAAGTACCGTTTACAAACCATCAAACAATTTTTCTGTGTGTTATTTCCGGTAGGCTACAGTTATTTTGTATTTTTTTTATTTATTCATCGAAGAAATCAATACTGGGATGAGTGAAAAGAAAAATAAAAATACATTTTTTCAAGTTAAGATTATTTGCTGTCCGCGATGGAAACAAACATGGATAGAATGCGACTAGAATGCGCATTTCGTTACTTTTGCAGCTGCGTTACGCATATTGGGAACTCCGCTGAGAGATTTCATTGACTTGTTCCTCGACTCTTGCCTCCATTTGGCGAAAAATGGCCTGCAAAACAAGGAGCGAATTATTCGATGGTTAGGTGGCCAATGAAAAGAGGCCGGGTAGCACTGGAAGAGAAAAAACTTTCCTGTTTTATATTGAATCAACCAAAAGGCGTTACGAGTGCAAATAAGTTATTGTCTATTATTCTTTAATAACACAAAGGCAAGGAAAATTGTTCGCACTGCAGGAAACGTCTTCTTTTTCTTTTCACCAATAGTTTGCGATGGAGTGGAAGGCTTGTCAGGAATGGAACAATTAAACAGAGAAGCCAAGAGAAGAAATTTACAAAGCACCACTTAACAGAGCTAATTTATTCAACACTCAATTCGAAAACGAAAAAAAAAACCGTGAAGAAAACGAGGCTGATGAGACATTTACTTTACCTCTGGGTTTAACCCTTTAAATCCCAGAAGTGATTAACATGTAACTTCTCCCTATAATTGTCATGTTTAAGCTAGCATAATTAGCATACATTATGTTGCACGTGGGCTGTGGCGTTGTTACATAATAAAGAATTGAGCATGGCGCTATGTGTGTACTGTGTCAAACATTATAATAATATCCATACACTATCTGGCAAACAGTTAATAAGAGTACTTAAGCTTATCGCATAGAAGTTGCTTTTCTTGATTTAACACCAAATTCTCCGAACTAATTTAGAAGGAAGAGTGTAGCAGCTAGAGGAGAGAATTCACAATCAGATCTTGGGAGTCAAAGGGTTAACTAGAGGGCGGATTTAAATTCAAACAAACTTTTAAATTAAGCGTGCCGTACAGTGTAAACACGACCCTCTAAATTGACCAATAATTTACAAGAACATTACCCTACTGAAGGGGGCTATTGAATCGTTTGCGGTGTTTAGATTAACATTTCTTGCGCTAAATGTGCTCGGCAACCTTTCACAGTAAAAAGAGGTTTAAATTTTGCAGAATTGCTTGCTTATTGATGTATATTATTATTGTTTGGTAATGAAAGTAAGACACGCCTACAAACCATCTTGGGAATTCTCTTTTTCTCTGTTGCCCTTCTCAAGGAGTCTTCCCTTCATCCGCCTTCCAAACTCTTTTATCGTTGTCCGGCAACAACTGATCTTTTGATTGATCTTGTTACTCAGCCTGTCCATGCTACTTATTGGATGTCTGTTGTTTACGGACACAAAATTTTACAAAGAAACGACTCGTATACCCTACGGACACAGACGTGGAATGCGAACTAAACAATTTGAAGAACTGCTATGTTTTCCCGCTTTTTCAGGTGGATTACGACAACAATCAATCTATTTCACCAGGAATCTTCCCTCCATCCGCAGTCTAAACTCTTGTATCTTTGTCCGACAACATCTCATCTGTGAGTTGGTCTTGTTGCACATACTCTCTAAGCTATTTATGGATGTTTTTGTTCACGAACGTTGAATTCTTGGTCAGTGGCGCGAAGGACTCATCTCAAGGCCTGCATGAACAGTTATGCATTATGTGGAGTGTCTCTATTGACGATGACAGTCATAATTGTAGACAGACTTGCCGCAGTGCGGGTGGGGCAGAGTACACACAAACTGTAACTTTGAAGCGCACATATATCATTGTAGCCGCCTTTTGGGTTGTTATTCTTGTCCCTGCTTTATGCTTTGTTTTAGATCCTCAAATAATCTTTTGGTGAGGCAGTACAGGTCCACCTCTCAAAATAATAATCTCTATCGCCTCGCACACAAAGATTTTCCATGTTTTCATTCAACATCACGCTAATGTACAAGATCATGTTCAACCGCCGTCGTGCCAAGCAAATACACTGAATATAGTGCGATACAGAAGGACAGTGTACAGTGTACTGTGGGTACAGTTTGCATTAGTTGCTTTATATGTATTGTACCATTTGTTCAGGTAGCAATAATCATCGCTCATCATCAGTCGCATTTAGCCAGTACTATGGGAATGGCAATGACCTTACTTTATTTTAACTCGACGTTAAATCCGCCTCGTAATTATTGGAGGATTAGTGAACTCTGACAAATGGTAAAGCAGACAATCAGACAAGCTATGCTTAGAGTTAGATACTCATGTAGTTCCTACTCGTATTAATGCTTCTAAAACTGACTTCTTAAGACTCACTTATCCATAGAGAACACTCGTGAGAGATTTCATTTGAAAGGAAGACACAGACATCCAGTCTGATGTCGCAAGTATATCGTAAAGTTATATCTGAGATTCAACACCTCATGATCAAAATTAGCTGTAAAAGGATGGACCACAAAAAAGCTAACAGATCAGCTAGAAGAGTCTGGATGACGGATGAAGGGAAGATTCCTTGTTAAAAGCAACAATGATGAGAGAATTCCTAAGAGATGGCTTGAGGGAAAGAAGAAAATTGGCTGTTGAAAATTAAAGTATGTATCACTGTAATCCACTCACCAGCGCCGGGGAAAATACCAGTTCTTTAAAGGTCATAGTGAGCTTCTCTCCTCCTGTTATATTTGTTGTTGCCTTCATTCTGTATTCTTTTTCTGGAAGTTAACTGCAATTACAGCGAACAGTCGTTTGGGAAAACGGTACCTGCCTATTTCCATTTTTATCAAGTGTTCCCAATAGCATTTAACACATTTGTAATGCGCGTAATTTAAGCTGGCAAGTTTGCCTTGCATTAGTCATCGCTCATAATAGGAAATACTTCTTTAAAAATTATCAATTCTTGTGACACTTTTCCATTTTTATACTTTCAAAGACCCCTCGTGACTTTCACTGTACATTGTATCACGAAACGACATTAACCATCAAAGAGTGATATCAATTCTTACAGAGTTACTTGGTCACCTCAAGCTTAAATATTTTTTCGAGGTCCTTTGTCGGGGCCATCTCTCTGAATTGAGCTCCTCAAAAAGGCAGCTGCTTATCACTGAACAATTGCTGTTTAAATAAGTCGGTAAAATTCGATTCAACTGCAAATAAGAGAGGAGTTAGTTTCGAGTGTAAACATTAATAAAATTGTAGACCTGTTCTTTGACAGCTCGAAAGAAAAAATTTCTTTCGTCATTATATCATCAATAAAAACCCTTTTTCTTGATCTACCCTATTATATAACAATTTCATGTTTTTGGGTTACTCACCTCCGGTTAAGCTTTCAAACACAGTTTGGCAAAGAGAAAAAAAGTGAAACTTACGGATGGTAATGGCTCGGAGGTCATAGATATTAAAATACTGATTATAATTCGCACACAATTTGCGACATTTTGGTAACATACTGTGCGGTGAGCATTTATTTTTTTCTTTATACTGAACCTTCTTGAATACTGACTGTATTTCTCATTATCTTTTGTTTTTTCTCCTTAAAATGTAAATGAATTTGTGGGAAAGATGACCGATTATACAAGAGAAACCTGTAAAAGCCGCCAATGGCCAAATTTATTTCGCCCACTCACTTCCATAGCTTTTAAAAGCGACAAAAACATCCACGTTCATTTTATCAATTAGCGTTATTTACTTTAAATAACATAGCGAAATGAAACCTAAAACTAGAGTTGTGACAAAACTCGTAGGACAATAGTTGAGCTGCAAAAAAATAAATAAATAAATAAAAAAGAAGTAACTGGTCCATTGTCACAACTCTTCAATACTTGGAACTCGATGAAGATAGGGAAAAGAAAGCTCTCTTTTGTGTCCATAGAGGACACATTTTTTTAAGTATGAATCGCTCTTCCATTTCATGTGTTACCACCATAAAACGAATCATTAATGTTTTCAGTTTTTTGTCTTCTGTCCTTCAGTTTTTCAAAAGAGAAGAGAGACGTTACTGTGGCACCTCTTGCAAGTTCAGTTGAGTTTCCTTGATTCTTCTCATCCTAGGACAAACCAGTTCCTCCTCCACTTACAGCCACAATTTTACATACTGTCTTCGGAAATATCAGAAAAATATATAGTTAGAGAGAAGAGGAATCAACTGCATGGACAGCAAAGTGCTTGTCTAATTGTTTCTATTACTGCTTGCCTTACTTCGCTAATCTTCCAGCAATAAAGAAACGGGTTTAAAGACGAATTAAAGAAGACGAAAACAAGCACTATTCGCGAACTGACGATTAATTGTGACGGATAGGTTTCACTTGAAGCTATTAAAATTGCCACTACAATATATGGGACATAACAAATAACTAATGCTAACTGCACCCACAGTGCACTGTACACTGCCTTTTTGTATCGTGCGATGTTCAGTGCATTTAATGCCCTCGGTTGCTGTTGAACACGATCTTGCGTTTGAATGCGACGATGACAAAGACTATAGAAAATCTTCGTGTAGGAAGCGAATGAGATAATCAAACATGATATTATGACCGCACAACTATACCAAAATGTTAGACGATAATCTAGAATGAAGAGTAAGGCACCGACACCAGAAACAACCCAAAAGGTGGCTACAATGATATACATGCGCTTTAAAGTTACAGTTTGTCTGTATCGTAGCCCCAACAACAGCGCAAGAAGTCTGTCCACGCCAATGGCCGTCAACGTCAACAAAGATACTATACCTAATTGATAGCCTAATATAAAGGCTGTATCGAAAGCAAATCGGCAGAGAACCCAATCTTCGCGAACTAAAGAAATCCAATGAATGGTATAGAGTGGCTGTGTAGCAAGTCCAATCAAAAGATCAGTTGTTGCCAGACAGCGATACAAGAGTTTGGACGGTGGATGAAGGGAAGATTCCTTATGAAGGGCAACAAGGATAAGAGAATTCCCAAGAAATGCCGTGAGGGAAAGGAGAAAGTTGACTGTTGAAAGATAAGATGCGTGTTTTTTTAAGCCATCTGCCAACGATGGGGAACATATCAGTTCTTCAAATGATTTTGGTTGTGTGCCAGTTACTGTTAAATTTTCTGTCGCCATCATTTTGCCGTTAAGGAGCGATCGTTTCCTCTTTCATCCTGGATTTCTGTATTTGCAATGAAAGATATTTCGTTTTAACGTCAACCTCTCTTTGAATGTCCGTTAAACCTTACACTGCCCAAGAATATTGACTTAACTATTTCCTCAGAAGCATGTCCTTATTTAACATGCGCACACGACCTCATTTTTTGTCGAGTTCGTGGCTTTACCAGCACGTATCATCACCCACAAGAGAAAAACACCTCTAACATAGTTATTACGCAATGCCCTTTGATATTCATTCTGTCAAACAGTTTAAGTTACTTCTAAAACACCATAGCCATTAAAACAAGTAATTTTAGAAAAGCTAGCGGCTTTTTCAATTATCAAGGGCTAATTTGGTTTTCACCCTTTTTTCTTTAAATATCCTCTGAACTTGGCCGGCCCACTTATGTGACTTCATTTACACAGCAAGTAAACTCCCTCTAAACACGTTTTGACTAATTAAATGAGCAGATTCTTTTGAAACTCTATAACCCGAGATGGGGGGGGCATAGAAGGTCCACAAATACACTCTCTTTTATGACATTTATCATTATTTATACTTCTCACACACACACACAAACAAAAAACAAAAAAACAAAAAAAAAATGGGCAAAATAAAGTCGTTCTTAACTGACTCTCAGCCTGGGTATGCTTTTACTGTGCTCAATTTTTTTTATTCACAGCCTGAGCGCTCGCATATAAAAGGTTCTTTAAAAGAAAAAAAAAAAGAGTGTATACAACTCGATGAGGATCAAGAGAAAATAATGGGACTTTATTTTCTCTCGAAAAGAGTCTATTTCCATTGACTGACTCTTTCCGCTCTCTTCACCAGCTAGTTATCGAGCAGTTAAGAAACGGTTTTAAACGGAAGAGTTAAAGCAGACAGCGGGCTAAGTGCTTCACTTACGTTTAAATACGGTTAATATGTCTTACCCAGGCTGATCACAATAACTGTCATAGTAATTAGATGGTACATAAAGAAAAAAAAAAAGCTGTTGCAAATTGCACCCACAGAGCCCTGTACATCGTCTTATTTTATTGGGCGATGTTAACCATGTTTGGCTGGCTCGGCTGTTGTCGGACATGATCTTTGAAAGAAATGTTTGTACTGGCAACCATCGGCGGTAGAGATAGCTAGACATGGTCATTTAAATTTAGTGTAAAGACTCGAGACCGGATACAATCCAAAATCCGGCTATTAAAAATTTTGGACGGATTCTGTGTCATCCCTATAATTTTGTTGTTAATAGGCAATTGTTTCGTTCCTCCTGCTATTTAAATCTCGAGAATTAAGTTACGTTCTGTCTTAAGAACACTTGCCTGCTCCCGATCATTTAAGCCTTCCTTTCTTTAAAAATGTTTAGATAAGGACTTCCTTTGTGGCTTCTGCTTACTTAACCTGCCGCTTCGAATTTTCAATTGCGTCACGAATTAGATGCAATTTTTTTTCAGGAGTTTGTATGTGTGCCTTGCATTTTTTCACTTATGAAAGGAAATATACCTTCTACCAACAGCAATTCCTGTGATATCTACGCTGTCAGTCCTACTTTTGTAAGAGAGTCTCAACGGGGTTAACCGTTTGTCATAAAACGGCCAAAAACTTTATCAGTTAGGCGTAAAAATTGACGAATTTTAACCGTTAGTCTTGGTGAAAAACAGTGGAAAGATATTGTTTGTTAGCCGTAAACTGGCCAAAATTTTACCCGTTAGCCGTTAAAGCCATGGCCCGATTGAGAACTTCATGTAATAGGTTCCGCTGCAGTTCCGATGCAATGCAGCCTTCTCTTACTAATACATCTATATACGTATTCTACATATACTTGTCAGCAGAAAATACGTACAAGATCAAAAGCAAGATCGTGGAAAATAACAACAGTAAAGAAACTGCATGAGGCCTTACAAATTGATTCGAATTTGGTTTTGATAGATTTGAGTGTTTTACCTTACATCAAAGGCTAGCCTGCAGAACAGGCGTAATTTTTTGGTGTTTTTCAGGCGAACGGAAGCAAGCGGGAAGCGAACGTGGAGAACGAGTCACGTCCAAGGGAAGACACGCGTGACTCGCTCTTCGTGCTCGCTTAGCACTTGCCTCTGTTGTACTGAAGAACGCAAAAAAAATTCACGCCTGTTCTGCAGGCTGACCACAGGCTGAAAAATGAACTGTAGGTTTCAAATCAGGAAACGCCTAGTTGTTTTTTGCTCCTCCTTTTACCGTGCAAAGTTCTCAAGTTAGAACTTCAAAACTTAGATTTGCGGCCGTGGTAAGCCCTAATAGCAAAGGGAAATCAGTCTTTTATTCATTAAGAATTAATTTTACTCCAAGAGAAACAAAATTGTTCTGAGAGGAGACGATGCCGATATCATTTATAGGTGGCAATCAACACTTCTGTTAGGCTTTTTCTGTATCTTTCCCTGAGCGTTTAATACCATATTGTGCCCCTACGCCGTCAAGAAAACATGATGAGGTGTGCAATGACCCAAGGGAGCTCGCTGTGTCAGTTAAATGCCAGTACCTCATGTTCTGCATGCAATGCTTTTCGGCAAGCAAAATGCATGCATTGTTTTCTGGCAGGCAATATGTCTAGTGCATAATAGGACGTGCAAGACCTTTAAAAGGTAACATTTTCTCATAATTGCATGTTTAATCCTTCCACGCTCATATTCTCTTATAGTGGAAGAGCGTGCTAATCACACACAACCAGAATGATATACTCTACTTGTTAAATTACTTGGTGCATACCAATCATGTTTGAACGAGATAACATTTCTCTAGCATTGAACTATCACAAGCTATTTCGTAGGTAAATCTATTCAAAAATTATTGCGCACGAGAAATAGCCTGATGACACAAACGACAAATAATTTTGTTTTACTTGCTCTAGTGATCACTTTTTTAACCATCTCTTAGATTTAAATGTTGTCTGTTTTTAAATGAGCACTTCTCATTTCAATTACGGGTGCTATTACAGAGGAACATTTCTTATCACACACAACATCAATTATATGCTATTGTGTTGACTACAATTAACGACTAACTTAATCTTTGACTCAATCAACTATCAAAACACTTTCCTTGCTTTTTTAACAAATGTTCCAACCCAGGAAGCACAAGTGGTAACTGGCTTCTGTTGTCAGAGGATGAGGCTATTTTCTTTTACCAATCCACCATTGTCTCTCCTAGAACACGTCTTATGGTATACTCAAGGTGGTCTAGCGCAGGATTGCCTCTGTGAATTTTTTCGTTATGCAGATCAAATATCCTCTTTTGATCCAGGCCATCTGGGATCCAATCGCTCTCGGTTCTTTTCGTGAAGAAAACCACTACCAATTTGTCTCTGACAAGTTCTTTGTTTTCTGTGAGCTCGTCATGAATAAACTTTCCGTCAAAAGTGATAAAATCACCTTCCGTTTCTTGCTGCCTGTTTTGAATTATGGAGGAGGTTTTGTGTGACCCGATCAACATGACACAATCACTGCAGTGAAATATGTTCTTGAAATCCTGATCTTCCACTAAAATGTCGCCAATACTCCTCAATTTTGCCAAGGTTCGAAGCTTACCCCGTAAATAGTTCTTTAATGTATGGGTTCTGCTGTTTTCGCTCTGTGTGTTCATAACAATGATGGACTTCATTTTCGTCTTGAAGGCGTGCCGGCTTTACGAGTTTCAACAAAGTGATAACCAGGCCGCTAAAAAAAGGAAAAGATAGAGCATGAATGTTTATCAGTGATCTTGAAAGCAACTCACAGCAATTACGAGCAGTTACAAGTAATTAGAACAGTGTGCGGGAGAGATTGAAATACAGAGACAAACCTGCCTCCCTCCGCTCTTAAATTAACGTCAAATTTTGTTCTAAAGAAGGAAAGAGTTCTGAAAGTCTCATTTTATATCAGAAGCGAAGGTGTGCGAAGTGCGTGCAAAATGATGGCAAAGCATCCAAAGAAAACAGTCGACCGTGCGGAATTCTGTTTCACACCATACCTTGGCAGCACGAAGAGTTATTGGAGTGAGTTTGTATAACCCCTTTGTTATATATGAATAAGTTTGTCGCTAAAGGCTAATGAGAAGAACAAGTAAGAACAGTTTTGAATATTTATTCAACCAGCCTGCTTGCAATCGAAAACGAACTTTTTATTCTCAAAACGATACATCTCGGAATGTATTATTTGTGAATGCAGGTTTCCAGGTTTTTTTTAACTGAATGAAAACAAATGTTTGCGGCAATCAATTCTACCTATTTTGAAAAACACACATTTAATTTCGTCTGCTAAAATGAAGCCCTACGTAGTTGGGATCAATATCAGTATCTGGGCAACTGCCCACCTACCCCTCCCCTAACCTAACATTAACCCTAACTTGTTATCAATTGACTGTTGTTGGGTTAGGGGAGGGGTAGGTGGGCAGTTGCCCAGATACTGATATTGATCCCGTACTTGTATGTATCCGTATGTTACTCGTATGTCACTCGTACTACTCCTGTGGTGTTTTTTAGTCATTACCGTGCTTCAAATGTCCACAGCTGTTCTTAATTGTTCTTCTCATAAGCATTTGGTCACAAACTTATTAGTATATAACGAACAGCTTAGACGAATTCACTCCAACGTTTCGTCACACTTCAATATACACCTAATTGCAGTAACTTTGTCTTAGAAAACAGCAAAAAGGAGAAGAAAAAAGCTAAATTCGAATTAATTAGCACATAATAGAAGCAAAGGACAGTAGCATATAAATGTATATAAGTTTTTATCTAAGTTTTTGGAATTGCCTGAAATTTCTCAACAATAACTGATAATATCAAGAAGTCTGAAATAATTTTTCAGCGGAAATTCTGTGAAAATTGTTTATTCGCTGGGCATATAGCCAGAGGTTAGTTTTAGTTATGTGCACATAAATTCCTATTTTGCTTTTTAACTTTTCTTTTGTTCCAGGAAAATTGTGTTGCAAATAGGTCTATGAATTGTAAACATGAATTATGGGTCTCGGTTACATTCATTAAATCTTTATTTCAGAGTCCCCATCAAACTATGTCAGGTCTATATTCTTAAACATGTAATAAAGCGACATGCTGTCAAAACTTTTTTGTCGTGTAATCAACTAAGTTAATATTTAGAGAAAAAAGGGGGGAGTACATTCTCTCCAAATTTTTAAGTTTTCCTACCATCTTAAATTTTGCTCCATTGAAAGTTGGAGGGCTGTTTTGCCGATTTTTCTTTATTATCTTACCCAAACTGATGCAAAATAGCAGCTCAACTTAGAATGAAAAGGGTCATTTTTGATGGTTGTAAGATAACCTTAGCTAAAGAAGGGTTTTAAACATCCTGAATAGTTACGGGAAACTGGAAAGGGAAATTTATGTGAAACAAGTGACTGCCTCCATCAATCAAGTAGTCATCTTCCTCAAACAGGGGGGAAAGGGGGTTGCAACTTGTAAGAGAATTTTAAAACAGTGACTTTGCATCATTCATCTGCGGGCTCGAATGATGCGGTTTTTTACGTTTGTATTTTTCTATATTTACTAAGATTACCTTTTCCAAGCTGTTGTTTACACCACCACTGTGAAGCCTGTAATAACCACCACAGGGGTCTTCTTACTTTTCAGGGCTTCAGAAGGGAGGGGCTTATCACAGAGGTGGAAGGGGGATATAGACTCTCCATGATATAAACTATTTATTTCTCAGATTCAGTTTGCATATATTCTAAAAGGAGGAAATTATGACATTTAACTAAGCGTGGGCAACTTATAACCCATCAATAACATTCAACCAGATGTTTAAAATCAACAAATTAAGCTGAAAAAAGGTCGTAATTTGCGTCATGAAATTCACGTAATAAAAGGATTGCTACACCAAACACTAAAATATCAAATCGAAGTTTTTGAAATAATTTCGAAACTTCGTTAGTCTTTCACTTGATCAATCTTTCATCTCACGTCAGATCTCTCAATTGAACTTTACAAGAACAAAAGCTCGTATTGGCTAAGAGAGAAGTCGCGTTGTTAGCTTAGAAATCATAATAAAAATAAAACACTTTAAACTTTCAAGGGGGAATAAGTTTCTAAATAAATCAGTGGTGCTGCGTCGGCGGGAGAGTTATATAATAAGGTAACTTGGTATTATAAACTCAGTTGATAATACGGGTCGGCTTGCTTCATTACACTTCACTCTCGTTCCCAGAGTCACTCTTTTTCACTGGTCGTGGCAATATATGTAAAAAGGACCCTGGGAACTAGAATATTTGCAAGGTGTTGACATGCGCATTCAATCGTGAAGCGAGATTAGCGCTGAATGCTGGAAAGTTGCAGAGGAATCGATAGTCTAATTTCTGCTGCAAAATTAAGCCCCTATCACACATACAACATTTTTTTTTCCAGCTGATGATAAATAGTTGAGAGATGACAAAAGAAAAGTTGTTGGAGCGTTGTAAAGAAGGAAACAGCGATGACAATCAAACTGAATGCGATGATCACGAGGATTTCTTAGATGGGAAATTTTACAGATCGAGAGAGTTCTGGATGAAGGTAACAATTTAGGGAAACCCTAATCATTCCAAATTTTGAGTAACTCATAACGGATTAAATCTGTTACTAATGAATAACCTTGACCTTGACAATTATCTACAATTTTCATGCAGGTTCATGAAAGGCAGAGTATAGGGTTACCGTGGAATAGAGCTATAAATGAAGTTAGAGTTGAAAGAATTATTCAGAATTACAAAGATAATGGGGAACTGGACAGTGAGGATCCAGCACTTGTGATGTTGAAACAGTGGCCGGCGTCCAAACAGTACAAAGATAGACCAGATAAACTTCCAGGCCTTGAAAAGCTGGTATGTTAAATATATGGGACTCCTTACCAAATAGAAAATATGCTTACATTTGTAAATGTGCAGAAAAAAGCAACCTGTATGCAGCTTATGATTTTTTCTCTTTTACCTCATATTCATATGATTGAAAGGAATACTTGCTAATTTTTGAAAGACCAGGAAGTGGACAGGATAGCTCTGTATCTCTCCAAAATATTTTAATGCAAGTTTATGGAATTTTATTGCATTTCAAAATGCATGTCTTTTGCAGGTGAATGAATTTTTGGAGATAATATTAGATAGTGAATTGAACTCAGGTAACAAATATGAGCTATTTAAAGATGAAGAAGACAAAACAAAGAAAACTTTGCTGCACTTTGCTGCTGAAGTTGGACTTTTACAAATCACCAAAACACTTTTAAAGAAATGTCCTGGTCTGCTGGATGCAACAACAGAACTTCAAATAATACCCAAGAAAAAAAGAGCCATGTTACCAGTTGAGTTGGCCCTAAATGCAGAGAATGATGAAGTGGCAGCCTATTTAATTAGAGCGATGTGGCATGAGAGGTATTTTACTGTGTGCTGCTCATTGCAAGATAGATTTAATTTATGGTTTTGGTTCTTCCAGTAGTAACCATAAAGATTACACAAAGAAGGTCAGGGCTGAATGATTGGGCATTTTTTATGTTAGCCACTACAGCTAACTACCACAACATTTCTCTATTTTTGCAATGAACATATGTATCCAAATATTTATCAGTCCTAATAGTATTTTTTTTTCCTCTTTGTATGAATCTGGCCTAACGTTATTAATTTAAAATGTCACATTTTACTCATAGTTCCATAAACCTGCTCATGAAATGTTCTATTTTCCCACCTTTTGTTACTGACATAAATTTCTCTGTGCCCATAGTGTTACAAGTTTATTTTCTTGGAGACCAGAAGACACATCAAATCCTTTACCATCTTTCTTCAGTTTTAAGGCCATTGTTGAGAATCCTAAAATGAAGGTGAGACTTAACCCTTTAACTTCTAGATCAAATTTGTATCAGATCAACTAATTATCCCTAAGTTGATATTTTTCTTTATTCACCACACTAATCTGGTTGGTATTGTATTAATATTGCAAGGAGAAATTCTGTCTTGGTCACTTATGGGGGTTCAAGGGTTAATAGAACCCCAAGATCAATTCTCCTGGAAAACAGTACTTACAAGTCAGCTAACCAATCAAATGTGTAATGTACAGCCTACATAATCTACCAGCTTCCCATCCATGGGAGTATGTAGCCATTCTCTTTTTTGTAATGACTTGGAAAATTTAATTAAAAAAAGGAATTGATGTTGAGTTGTGTTGTTATGAACTGAGGCTTCACAGGCATCTATAGTGGGCTGAGTTTTCTGTCTTTAAGATATGCTTTGATATGAAGTTCTTAATCTTGATTTCTTTCATTTTACTCAATGATTACTCTATTATGATTTACCTGATAAAAAAATCAATTTTCAGAGATAGACAATCATTGTCCTTCTTCAATCACAATGTACAGTAATATTACTTTAAAGTGAAATAAATTTTTTTGTAACAGAGATGAAGTTTTTTTTCTAATATTTTGTGGAAATGTCATATGTCAACAGAAAACAGTAGTGGCTGTATTAGACCAAATGGTGAACCCTCACTGGCCATACCTTCCAAAACGGAAGGACAGTTATGTCTCCCAAGAAGAAAAAGAGGGAATTGAGGGAGTCTGGAATACCATTCCAGAGGATCCACTAAACTATCATTTTTATTATGCTATCTTGGATGGTGATGAGGGAGGGAGACCTCCAAAAGTTAATATGTTATCAGAGGGACACAAAGAGTCAGATAACAAATATTTCAACTGGAGAGACCAGTCATGTTTAAACGTGATTGCAAAGAGTAATAATAAGGTACATATTAATTTTTATTGATGTATATGAAGTATTTTGTTTGCCTTTGGATATGAAATCAGACTTAAATGAGACTGGTAATTCTCTTTGAAGAAAAATTGTTGACAAGGTAAAGCCAAGTTTGTATGATTGATTTGTTTCACTTGTAGTGGACCCTCAAATTCTTCCTGACCTTGTATTGCAGGAGGCCTTGCAACATCCAGTGGTCAGAATGTTGATTAAGACAAAATGGAAAAGTTATGGGAATTTTTTTCTCAGGTAGATAATTTTCACCTTTCTTGTAATGTTTGTAAGGTTATATCACTGATCCAAGCTTGCAGGTGCAGTTCAGCTCACTAAACGTCAATATGCTCTTCACCATCTACTAGGAAAAACACTTTTATTCAGTAACCTAACCTAAATTAAACTTTTTGTAGCCAAATTGGCATTTTTTTATTTCTAACTTTGTAGGGATCTTTTTCCTTGTAAATTTTGGCCGAAAACTGATTTATTAAACAACGTTCTTTCTTTTTTTATTTAGCCTTCAAACAGCACTGTATGTTATCTTCTTACTGTTCTTGTCATATTCTCTGCTGTATGGTTCAACCAAACCAGACCCCACCCAGTACAGCAGTGGGGCAGACTTGTTGTGTGGATTTTGTGAGATTGTCACTCTTGTCATGGTGGTCTTTTACATGTGTGAAGAAATGAATCAAATGAGAATGTAAGTGAGTTTTAATGCTGATGAAACAATTAAATGCATTGAGAATGATTTACATTAGATGATTAATTATTAGTTTGTTAGTTCAAGAGGTTCCCCTTTCTTAAAAACCCCTTTATTTGACCCTTTCACTCCTAAGATCTCATTAGTAATTCTCGTTACTGTCTTCTATAAAATTCCAATGGTGTTAGTTCAGAGAATTTGGTGCCAAATCAACAAATAAATATCTCCTTAGTGATATTTTTCTTTATCTTTATCAATTGCCTGCTTGATATTGTGCTGACATTGTAAGGAGAAATTTTTTTTCCCGGTCACTCATGGGAGCCAATGGGTTTGGCAAACGTGACACATGTACTCAGCATTTTTACTACAAAAATAAAAATTTTGTTTATGACTAAATTTCTCCCAACACAAATGATCCAGTGGAGTGATTAATCTTTTTTGCTTAATTTTATAGAGAGAGGTATTCCTACTTCTCAGAGTGGATGACCCTATTTGACTGGTTAGGCCTGTTGCTGACCCTGTGTATAGTACCCTTGCGGTTCTGTGGTAGCAAAGCTCAATGGACAGTTGCATCTTTGGCTATTTTGTTTAATTTCATGAGGATTTTTAAGTTCTCATGTGTGACAAGGTAGGTAACATATAAAAAATATTTAATTTTACGCTTTGACTTGACATGTTTTATTTTGGTTGTACATGCATGATTAACACTGGCCTAACGATCCACATTAACCGATAAGTAAAGGAAAAATATTTTAACTCCACAAGTGGTGTGAAAAAAACCGTCTCTAGGAAAGCAATTTTTATTTCAATATACTAATTATACATGCATGGACGTTTTAATGTACGATTTTAAGTCCGCATTGAAATACAGCTCAGCTCATTTATCTTACTTAGACTTTCATCTTTTCCAGGACTACAGGACTATACACGAAAACCTTGGCTAAGATCATTCAGCAAGACTTGACAAGATTCATGGCAGTTTTTTTTACGATTTTCCTTCCCTTCTGTGGGGCTTTATTTTTATCTCTCCGTTCATCCAATCAAAACCAAGAATTAAGGTGCATCTAGTAATTCTATTTATTTCTCATTTCGTCTTGTCTGAGCTTAATCTGAGTTATTCTGTGGGAAGAAAAATGTATAATGCTTTAGGCTTTCCAATTTTGAAAACGCTCGTCCAGTTTCGGAGAAATACAATGCAATTGCCAGTAAGACTTATTTAGTCTACTCGACGTTCATATATTCAGAAATGTTGTTTACGTTGTTTTAAATCTATTCTTTATAATCAGTGGCTTTGGAGATGTATTGTTGAGCGGTGTTCTTGCTCTCTTTGAGCAACGATCTATTGTGGCAGATTATTCAAGCTTCAAGTGAGTGACTGACCCAGTTATATGACCAGTATGGATCAACAGTATACCTACCCCTCCCCTGACCCAGCATTAGCCCTGACTTACATTTCAATGTTGTTAAGTTAGGGGAGGGGAAGGTGTGTAGTTGCTTAGATACTGACATTGTTTCATTCAATCAGTATTATATGCAATGCGTTTCCCCTTTGTTATAATATGGTAATCCCTATACTTTTACCGCAGTTGTTGTGAATCTTTGTTCTCTTGCAGTTGGCTCTCCACTCTGTTGATGCTAGCGTACATGGGAACCGTACTTGTGGTTTTACTCAACATACTCATTGCACAGATGAGCACGACCTACATTCAGGCCAAGAAAGTCGCCCGTTTGGAGTATGATGTGGATCGTATTTTACAGCTCACTCGTATTGAGAGATTTCCTTTCCTGGTACGTAGACGGAGATTACGGGTTTAAGAAAGAGGCGTTGGCGCAAATTGTAACGCGTCCTCGTGTAGGTGGGCATGTGCTCGCACGTTTTCATTAGTTTGCGTGCGCGAGACTGAGTGATTAAAGGCAAGAAAGCAGGAGCGGTGGGTGAGTGACAAGATATCAACCCCTGAGACGGTGAACCCCACGAAAAACAAGATTCTCATGTGCATACTTTTTACTTGCAAAAGCGACAAATTTCAGTGATGGATACTCAATTTTGCTTATATTATTTCAATTAGGTCAAAACGTATTACGTCTGTTCAGTTAATGTATCAATGTTTTTTTTTGCGTCTTTTCACTTGTCTTCTTATCTTCGTTGCAGAATTTACGCATGAAGTATTACAAAGAGGGAGAATGGATCAGTGAAAAGAAACTTGCGGAAGGTTTTTAGTAATTTGAGCTCGCTTAAATTCACGATGAGATGGATTGAAGGGCTGGAACGAAGACTATGGATGAGCATTTTGTTAGAGAGTCCATTACAATAATATTTAGCATGACAATAGTTTAACTTCATTTCCGCGGCCATGTAGTAAATTCGATATCATAGAAACTCGACCAGCTATGAACGCGTAAAATTCTCATTTGCACGATAAGTTAATGACCAAATTATGCATATCCTTGTTTGGATTCAAAGTAGAAAACAGATGAGGACGGGAAGAGCTGGTTATTTGGCCACTGAAGGCTAATATACTCTCTCTCAGCCTAATGGTTTACTTACACTATTAAGAAAACTGAATATTTTCCGTGCTCATATTTACATTGCTGTAGAGCTCCTTGAATTCAGTGAAGATCACAATCCTTGGGAATCAGTGGAAGAAAAGCTTAACGCGATAAGGTATGGATGATTCTTGAACTGAAATTAGGTCCGCTCATCTCCTTGCATCAGGCTACCGTATCTCCCTGCTGTATCTCGATAATTTTCTTCTTTGCGACTCTTAATCCCAGAGATGTGATGAGAAAGATGGTAAAACAGATGAGACCTGAAAGAGGGTGAACAGCTGTCAGACATGTTGGCTCAACTACGGGAATATCATGTTCCATTCTATTCTAGCTTGTCACCAGGCCCTCAGTATTATCACTTCAGCACGAGGGTTTCTTCGCCCGCGCAAAAGTAGGAGGCCTTGAACAACGCGAGCCAGCGAAGAGGTCTGCAAGGGGTCTGGCGTTGGTAGTTAGGTGCCAGGACCCCGGCAAACCTCCCCCTGACTCATCTCAAATCTTCTTGCGAGCGAAGAAACGGGCGTCCTCCAGCGATGATGATGAAAGCCTTCGTGGGCTACTCCAGTTCTTGAACACGACCTTTGGGCATTTGAAGTTCGTTTTAGACTCCTTTTTACGGATCGAGTTTCATATGAAGCGGGAAAAAAGTAGTTGTTGTAAGAATCAATCTGAACAAACACGAAGACCCCTGTAGGTTATTGATAACTCGAAGGAAAAACGACGAGTCCAAGTTCATTATGAAATTGTTTCACTAACCGTGTTAACAGGAAAATTACTAAAGAAATTAGAACAATAACAAGTACTTGATTGAAGCAACTCTAGACTACCGTTTATAAACTATCGAACAATTTTTCTGTGTGGTATTTCAGGTAGGCTACACAGTTATCTTTTTATAAGAAAGTCTAATTTTGGGCCTAAGGTTGAACTTTCTTATTTTTTTATTACAATTTAAGCCTTATACCGTCCTTAATGTGTTCTTAAAGTTGTGTGATATAATTATATTTCAATATATCAATCTCAAAAATATCCTTAAGTTTTTGAATTAATTGTCTTGGTGGACCACTGTTGTAGACTTCTTTTACCTTTATTTATACTTCTCACACACAAAAATTATTAATGGGAAAAATAAAGTCGTTCTTGACTGACTCACACCTTGGGTATGTTCTAAGTATCTTAAAATTTGGTTAATCTCAGCTTGAACGTTCTTATACAAATGGTTCTTTAAAAAATATATATATATATACAATTCGAAGAGGATCAAGAGGAAATAACTGGACATCATTTTCTCTTGAAGTGGATGTATTTCCATTGACTGACACTTTCCACTTTTTTCACCAGCTAGTCATTCAGCAGTAAAGAAATTTTAAACGGAAGAGTTAAAGCAAAGTAACAGGGATGCTAACTGCTTCACTTACGATTAAATACGGTTAAAATGTTTTACCCAGGGTGATCGCAACAACCGACATGGTAATTAGAGGTACATAAAGAACCACTGTTGCAAATTGCACCCACAGAGCCCTGTACATCGTCTTATTGTATCGTGCGATGTCAAGTGTATTCGGCTGGCTCGGCTGTTGTCGAACGTGATCTTTGCGGGAAATGTTTGTGTTGGCAACCATCGCACAGATAACTAGACATGTTCATTTAAATTTTAAATTATTATAAAGCCTCGCTGGACCGGATACAATCCCAAATCCGATAATTACAAATTTTGGACGGATTCCGTGTCGTTTCCGTTATTTTTTTGGTTAACAGACACCTGTTTGTTTCGTCCCCTCTGCTGCTTACATGTTGTGAAAATGAGTGATATTTTGTCTTAAGAACACTTGCCTACTCCTCATAATTTCAGCTTTCCTTTTTTTAAAAATGTATTTATATATGGACTTCCTTTGTGGCGTTTACTCACTTAAACTGTCGGTACGAACTGTTATTTGCGTCGCTAATTATGCGCAGTTTCGATCGTGCCTAGTATTAATTATCAGCTATGAAAGGAACGCGGTGGCCTTATAGAGGGTCTGAATGGGGTTTAGTGTTTAGTGTTATTTGCCCATATTTTTTAGTGTTTACTGTTAAATTGGCCATTTTTTTAATGTTTACTGTTCTTGAAAAAAAAACTGTTTAGTGTTTGAAAGGAGACCCCAAGGTTTTTTTAAAGCATTTTCAAATTTAGTCTGCTCTTTTAAATTCTGCAAGAAAATCAAGAAAATCACTCGCGAACAGTGAGCCAAAGCAGAAATGCTCATGTCCTTAGAACCGATAATGCGCCTTACTAGACCCTCAGTACTAGATGTACTTAAGGGGATACGTTTGGTAATCCACACAATAGTTCCTGAAAAGTATCACTTCTGGAAATCCAACCAAAGTAGTGTTTGCAAAAGACCAATTGCACTTGAAATTGGGCCCCAAGGCAAAGTACTGGCGTTAGACTGCGATTTCGACTCTCGATAGTCTCGTAGAACTGCGTTTACACCGACCAGTCGATGTAAATGTTCGAAGGGAGTATTCAAGGATGCGCGGGACCTATGCTTTACCAATGGCGTAGTCTTTGCTGCAGAGAGAGGCTCATCAGCAATCCGTTTCACTGAATTGAAAGGCGAAGTACTTTTCAAACCCGGACGCCTAAAATCGCGAGCTGATTTGCTTTCGCGGCTTGGTCGTTTCAGATTGTCACTTGAGGGTACAGGTCCAGTTCTACAGAAGCGGTTGACGACACATCTGAGATCTTTAGCTGCACAAGTCGAGAATAAACAAATTGTCCAGATTAACCCCACCTTTAAGTAAACCAACTTCCATCTGTGCGGCAAGTAAGGATATCCTCTTGTGTGCCCGATGATGAGCAGAGAAGCATAATGCAGCTGGAGTTAGAGTACAATGGAGTGGCTATCATCGGTAATAGGCTGACACAGATGAACTACTCCAATGACGTGACAAGTGTTGAATCTCTTCATGTTCTGCGGCAATCAGCATACTTGGCTGCAACTGGCGCAGCTGGAGGGTTATATGGTTGTAACCTCGATTCTGCCAATGTTGAGCGACTCTCGCGGAATTCTTCAGATTCTTGTGAGGAAATCAAGAGGCTGTATGGTTATGAGGGCAACATTGTTTTCATCGACAACAAAGATCAAAAGGTTAAGACCTTCAATCCCTTAAGTGCAACAGTCGAGACCTTGTTGGGTACTGGCCACCAAGGAACCGTTGATGGAACTGAAGAAAGCTGCTCATTTACACAAGTTCATGCAATCTGTTCCTTGTAGAAAATTTTTTTTGTTTCTGATATAGCTGCTGGAACAATTAAACTAGTTTCGGGGCTTACTGGCACAGTGTCCTTTCTTCGCAACCTCGAATGTCTCTATGATAGTTTTGGAATTGGTGCACATACGATCGACGCGGTCCAATTATCTCTTCAAGATGCTGTGTGCAATGTTTCATCTGTAAATGCTTATATTAAAAACACAGTCGCTGAAGTAAGGCAGCACTATAAAATGAAAGAAACGGCAACAATAAATGGCCCTGAAGGAACTGTTTCTAGCAAAACACAGGAGTCATTGGTGCTTCTCGAAAGAGGTATGGAACAGCTACGAGATAACGTTAAGACTTGGTGACATTAACCTGCGTACGCTGCTAACAACTCAGGTGGAGAACCTTCATGCTGTCTCTCACTTCTCAAACGAGACTTTCACCGCTCTTCAGTATGCTCAAGACTTTGGAACAATTTCAAAGGAATCTTTAAAGAGAACAACGAAGTGGGGTGCGAAGTACTTCACGCTTGAGAAGTCTTATTATCCAGTGCCTAAATCCAGTGTGGAGTTACGGGACGTAGATTTGATGAAACCTCCTCCAGCTGATAACGTTGACCCCAACATTGAGGCAGCCATGAAGGAATTTTTTGACAGGTATCGACCTGTCAGGGACAGTAAGAAGCGAATCAACAAAAGACAAAGCCTCCAGCTGTATATTACAGTACGCCATCGTGTACTAGAGTAACATTCCAAGAGGATGTTTAAGATGATCCAGGGACAGACAATGAAGAATTCGAACGAGTCGACCAGGATACAAATATTCCACGAGCTACAAACGAAGTACCCAGAATCACCTTTGTTGACGAAAGCATGCTCGGAGTTGTCGCAGTTGGTGACGTGGCAGACCTCACCGAGCAAGAAGATGAATTCGACACCGACTCGGAGAGCGATGCGGATAATAATACAGACATAAAGTTCAGCAGATTTGGTCGCGCCACCCGCGCTCATTTCCGCCTTGATCTCTAGAAACAGTTGGGATAATCGGGACTATTCAGGTATGGAAAATAATCAAATGTTTTTGGCCAGGATGGAGTGAAATGTCTGTCATTTTTGTTGACTATTATACATTGTGAGTACTGTAACCGATCTTATTGGTGAAAGAATATCCTGTTGTTGCATTCATTACTAGTCAAATTTAAACACTCATATATGTTAACTCTCGTTTTCCTTGTAATTTTCGTATTTATCTCTTTTTGTTTGTAGTGCAGATTCACCAACTGGGTTCATCTCACAAAGCTAACCAATCATACTGAGGTATTCATACAACGGATGGCAATCCGTAAATTTGCTTAATTTTGTTGTTTATTTCGATGTTCTATCCCATTGGCTGTTTGATTTGAATATCGTAATCTGATTTGTTACTAATATATTCTCTCAAATTGGTCACGGTTGGTGTATCCTCGCTGTAAAAGCGCTTTAAGAATAGAATTGTTATGAGTTATACAAGCCAAATGCGGTAGTAGCGGGTATGCACTGCACAAAATCTTTCTTCGCATATACAACAAAGTCAATCCAGTCCAAACCTGTGATGTTGAGAACATTGCAACATTCTTCAATTGTCATTTCTTTGTTAGAGAATGGGCATTTAATCTCAATGGCTCCTAATGGATTTGCTTCCCTATAAACAATGCCATCTGGGCTGCCTGCTGGCCAGGGCCAGGAATGGGTTGATAATCAACCCACAGTCAGCAACCTCTTCCCCACTCTTGGACTTGCACATTTCATGAGCAACATGTTCATTATCAATTCCCCAGTTCAATAAAGGGGACATCCTAGATGTTGATGTACTTGTTTTATTTATGCTTGCTACAATTGATACAGGAGCAATACTCTCCCTTCAATTGATCACCCCTCCAAATAATGAGGATGTCAATCTTTTTTGTCTCTCCTTAAACCAATCTTTGCTTTTTACGTTGAAGTCTAGTTGAGACCTCGGATGGCCACAGCCTCATTTTTGCTAACACCAACATTGTTA